GGTGCTGAGCGGGGGACGAGCCCACTTCTTTCACTCTAAAGTGTCAGTGGGCATCCCTCCATTCTTTACACTTGGTTGGCCGTTTAATAAACAAACAACCAAACCCAGTGTAATGGAACCTTTGCTAATTGAATCTGTATTCATTTTGGGGAGTTACTGTTTTTTCTCTTGTTTAAACACGTTACCTCTATTGGTGTGGCTCAAACTGAGAAAATGACTTTCAAATCTGTTGTGTGGATCCAATTCTTACTGTATTTCTCGTTTATCAGATGATACAGGAAATCGACTTCGGTTCCAGCTGGAGTTAGAGTTTGTTCAATGTCTAGCAAATCCAAATTACCTCAACTGTGAGTACTTTAAATACCAGGATCCTGATGAATTAATATTGTTTAATAGTGTTTATTATTACCAGTAATGTTAAACAGGGAGAGCGAGAGCTAAATAGATAATGGGCCTTTCACAGCATAAAGGTAGTCTCTAATTTAATTTGCTGAGATTTTCTAACGTGGGGTTTTTTTAAATGTAAAATGTTTTATCGGTTGACAGGAAAAAATATGCATCTATTTGATGGAGAAAAAAAAAAGTTGAAGCTTGTAGTTAAAAAGTAATGTCAAGTTACCTAAAACCAGAATTTTACTCATGTTAATAATAGTTTCAGGTACTGTACTGAATTTCCTGCCAGCTTTGATGCTACAGTCAAAACATCCTGTTTCAAAGAGCTGGTCTCTTCCTTGCTGTTGTATGGAAGTTACACAGACTAGTTTCTTATGCCTAGTATGTTAAGAAAAAAAACTATTTTCCCTATGGTTTTTCCAATTTGAATTACCAATGCTTGATTGTAATTATAGTTTTGACTAAAGTACCTCTTTGCATAGTTTTGTGAATATCTATTCAAGTCTGGCAGATTTTTCATGTGTCTGTAACTGACAATTCCTTATTTGTCATTTTATTTTAGTTCTTGCACAAAGAGGCTACTTCAAAGACAAAGCTTTTGTAAATTACCTTAAATATTTACTTTATTGGAAAGAACCTGAATACGCAAAGTACCTGAAGTAAGTGTTAAATCACTGAGGTTCATTTAAATGATTTTATGTTTACCTTCTGTTAGGTACTGTACAGCAGCAGGTCAGTATTTGATATCTGCCTGTATCTTTACCTTTGTCCTCCCCATTGTGTTCATATGCAACATAAATTTTCCTGTTTCAAATAGTCCAGATGTAGCAAGAGTAGACAAAATTATAAAACCTGTCTTTCATGTTTATAACCTCATTCATGTTTATAAATATTTAAAGGGTGAGTGTCACGAGGATGGAGCCAGGCTCTTCTCGGTGACAAACAATGATAGGACAAGGGGTAATGGACACAAACTGGAACACAGGAGTTTCCACTTAAATTGGAGAAGAAACTTCTTCTCAGTGAGGGTGACAGAGCCCTGGCCCAGGCTGCCCAGAGAGGTTGTGGAGTCTCTTTCTCTGCGGACATTCAAACCCTGCCTGGACGCCTTCCTGTGTAACCTCATCTGGGTGTTCCTGCTCCGGCAGGGGGATTGGACTGGATGAGCTTTGGAGGTCCCTTCCAATCCCCAACGTTCTGTGATTCTGTGATTCATTAGTCATGTGTGGAATTTTCCTCTTGCAGCCTGTATCTGCACTTTACCATTTGTTTAAAATAAAACTATTGAGCATTATGGTACTAAACTACTTCAGTTAAGCCCAGTAAGTACATTTTAAGAGTGATTTTTTTGCATTGTTAATGCTTACACGAAACAAAGGATGACTGCATTTTTGTGCATGTGCAAACTCCGTTCAAGTTTTGGGAACAGTTTTTGGTTATGTTCTTTAAATGAGCTCTGGAAACAGATATTGTAGTTGTGTATTTGTTTTAGTAAAATCTAGCCATTAGAAAAGCTACTCTAAGCAAGCATGTGTATCCATTTGTAAACTGTTTTAGGGCTTCTTGTTTCCTAGCCTAATACTGAAGCAATTAAGTTACAGTGTGGTTTGATACTTGAGTAAAGCACATACATGATAAAACTAATAATGAACTGCAGAACTATTGGAGACTCCAGTTTTAGTGCATCTTCTAAAAACTTCTATTAATGTCTGTTTATTTTTAATCCAGATACCCTCAATGTTTGCATATGTTAGAGCTGCTCCAGTATGAACACTTCCGCAAAGAACTGGTAAATGCTCAGTGTGCTAAATTTATTGACGAGCAACAGATTCTTCACTGGCAGCACTATTCCCGGAAAAGAATGCGCCTCCAGCAAGCACTTGCAGAGCAGCAGCAACAAAACAACACCTCTGTAAAATGAAAGGCACTTGGAAGAGCGATGATAATAAGATGTGCTTTCTGTCAGTTCAAGTATTTACAAGAGAGGAATGAAACTCTTTGTAGGTTTGGCTGTGGGTGTGTGTATGTTTAATTTCTGATTTATCAACTGATTTCTTTTTTTCTTTCATCAACTTTTTTAAAGATACAAGACTGATAAACACCTACTTCTGCAATTTATTTTGTAGCATGGACAATTTTGTAAGACCATTACTTACTGTAGTTATTCATTCCTCTTGATTTTGAAAAAAAACCATAGTTGTGAGGGCACTGACATTTAAGTAGCTAACAGAAAGTCTAGCTCAGAAGTCTGTTCTTAAGAGGCATCTTTCCTGGAGAAAAACGATGTGTCTCCAAGTGTGGCTAAGAACTTCCTCATGTACTACTTTCTACAACTACAGAAAGAGCAAAGTTGGAGTGATGATATTGTACAAGAACTAAATTGTGCATTTTTGCCTTGAAACTAAGCTGAGCTATTACTTTTCATTTTTCTTTACCTGGCAGTCAGTGTTGCTGTTCCCTACAGTGTGTTTTAGAGATAGAAATAAAAGTGCAATGAGACAAGGACTGGATGAGTGGAGCACGCATAAGAAAGAATAAACTTTGCAGATACTCAGCAGAAGGAAAGAGACTGCAGTTGTATCTATTCCATTAAAGTCAGCTTACTTTAATCTTGGTTTCCTGCCAGTGTTGTAGTCGCTGCTCTTAGGTGTCTCTTCAGTACATGTAGTCAAAACAACTCATGTCACAAAAAGACGGTGTAAACGCTTGCAGTATTGGAGAATCATTTGTCCTTTATTCCTTTATAGGTTTTATTTTGGCAGCTGTCAGGGATTTAATTTTTGTATTTTACATTGTATTCATGCTGCATTCATGTTACATATCACTGTAGGAGCAGGTGCTGCCTCAGTTTAACCCTTAACGTGACCAGTGACACCGGGACTGTCAGCCTTCAGTTTATCATACTTGGACTGAACAGATGAGCTATTAAATATCTCCGATGTTGAAAATTTATCTTTGCAACTTCATTAACTATGTGAAGTCAGACTTGGCATAAGCAGGTTTTTCTTTTACTTCTGCCCCCCCTATTTACTATTAAAGGTATAACTTAGCAGTTAAGTCTTAGTGTAAAGTAATTGTAGGCTGCTTTCTCAGTTTATAACATGAAGTCAGCTCCTCTAAAAAGAGTGTTTGCAAATTCAAGTTTATTTGAATGTGAAAGGAAAGATACAGTTTTTTGTTGCATGATTTTAGTGGAATGTTTGGATCTAGAATTGAATTATACCCTTCTTGACTAGTCCAAAGTAGTTAACCATGATGTTTTTTAAAAGGTTAAGGATTCCTTGAAAGGACACCGCAAATAACTTGATAGTAACATCTTTATGAGTGATTTGACTGCTGGAGGATTTAGTCTTCAGTAAACAACATACGCACAAGTTCTGCTTTAAAACATTCTTCTTCAACCAGCTTCTGAGGCTGAAAGAAAGGTTAAGATGTTTCAGGGGCAGTTCAAAAACCTGTTCTACAGCCATCTGACATACTAGTATTAGCCATACTCCAGAAATTGCTTTTCCAGGGAGAGTGGGGTAGAGCAAGCAAGGTAAGAATAACTGAAAAACGCCTTAGGGTTTTCTGGCCTTGGAAGGGGCATTTCTAAGTAACTGCTCATTTAATTAATATGCACAAGTTAAAACTTGAGCTGTAGTCTGTCAGGAGCGTACTGCATATAACTTTCACTCCCATAATTCAGCACTCGGATCTTTTAAAATTTGAGGAGCTGCACATCAAGAAGCTAACAATACGGTGCTAAGAATTTCCTCTGCCTCTCAACCACTACATGCTAAGTGTAAATACTTAAAGTATATTTATTATAGACAACATTATACAGAAAGCAGAGTGGCTCTCTCTAGAGGAACTGTTTGCACCAGGAAGAGTGCATGGGTGGGAGCAGAAAAGCTGTTCCTAATTGTCTGCCCTTTTTAAACAAGAGAGGGTATCACAACATATGTATGACTTATTTAAAGCCATAAGCTCCTGCCAGTTTCCCATCTGAATGCCTGTAAATCCAGAACATAAAATAAATAACTTACTGTTCCATATTTAAGTAGTGTAGGCACTCCTGTTAGTTTCAGATTCTTCCTGAATTCATTGTTGGGATCCTTCCAGCTGTTCAAGAAGAAAGAGTTAAGCATAGGTTGTAGGGGCACAGTTTGAAGTTACCCTGTTAAAATTCCTTCAAAAGGATGATTCAAAGGTCTTTGCCTCCTGCCTCCCACCTTCCCAACCCACTTCTCAGAACAAAGATGCAGATAGTTCACATTAGTGGTAATGTAGACCTCAAAAGTAAAAAAAATGGCTTCACTCCTTGCAAAAAAGGACAGTTCAGTCAGTTGTTCCAGCAAGTTAGTTAACCTCCAGTCCACGAATAGCAAAGCTCTATCAGTTGGCATAAAAACAGTTACTTACTAGGCTCTGTCTCCCACAAGACAGTAGATGAACACAGATTCATCAGGCATGTTACGAAGTTCCTTCCTCACAACAGGTTCAGCTAAAGAATAGTTTCAAAAATCCATTAGTAGTTAATACTTTTACTGAGCCATAGAATCACATGGATCTACTTTGACCAGCAAGGCTCCTAATTAATGTTTTGTCTGCTTCTGGTAGAGATCTGTATTTTGTTTCATCTGTTTATCCACAGGCTTTGCAGATGCTCATGCTCAATGCTGAAGGGACTTGTATTGGAGTAAAGGCCAGTTTCTGCTTTAGCAAGAAAAGCAGTCATTGTCTCCTGTCTGCATGAAAGCCCATCAGAACAGCAGTAAGCAGTATGTGCTCTGGCAGATAGGAGCCAGAAGTTCAGTGCAATGTTTTCTGATAAAGCAGAGATTAATTAACTGATTGTAAGATTCACGTCTAGTTCTTTGTTAGGTCTTTGTACCCCCCTCTGCTGAACATGCCACTCAGTGGAATGTGGCTTGCAAAAGCGGGAGCAGCCCGGCCGGTGCGGTACCCAGCTGCCGGCCGCAGCTTGCAGCGCCAGGGCGCGGTCCTGAACCTCGCCAGCCCGCCCACGGTGCTGCGTGATGGCGCGGGGTGTCGAGAGGTCGTTCCGGCCTCGGAGCTGCTGCTGGCCCAACTTAACGTGCTCTAGGAAGGGCGCCCGGGGCCTCCG